CAATTTTTTTTTTCAATAACCACTGAGACTTTCCGACTTCGTTGTTAGGCCAACAGAAAAGAAAACAATTAAAAAGCTAAAAACAAACACTTTTTTTTGGGAGGGGGGGGATGTTTTTATATATTTGATTTCCGAATTTACGCTGTTTCGAGAATAAAATTTTAATAATTCACAATTTTTTTATGTAAGTTACGTAAATATTTAAGAAAAGTACTTTACGATTACTCTAGAGAAAGCGTGATTATTCCGTAAAATAATTACTGATAACTGTAAGCGATTAGAAGTAACTGTGTTACTGTTAACGGATTATTACAAGTCTGAAACATTCAGTCATGTAGTTCTTCGCGTCTCATCATATATTTGTTTCACCGTCACCAAGTGCTATGAGTGGGTGAACTCTCATAGGCGCTCCTGTGATGATGTCAAGCACCACTTTGACCCCTATGCTTGCCCATTATACGATGGACACGGCCCAATCTCTGCACGGTGTGGCTTGTTTCGAAACTTCTCCTGCGGTGATGCACTGGAGCTTGCTCAATCAAAAAAATACTACAACGAAATATCAGTGCTTATTCCCTGGTCTATACGTGTTCAAGGGAGCAGTGTATTGACACACCAATCTCTCGTTCAAAAAGGCAAGGAAAGGAATTTTGAAGCGAATTAAAATAATAGCAAAGGGCACCTGGTGGATGTCGCCAAAGCCTCGTTTGTTAATACCCCTCTAGGAACCTTGGCAAGTAGTAACGATGTCTGTCTCACCAAAAACCGTACATGCATTGAACCTGACGTCATCCCGGCGGCTGTCCGGTCACCACGAGAGATGAGGGGAAGGAGGAACTCCCGTCTCACCAAGACTCTATTCTGTGTGTCCCACACTTCGTTATTGTCCCTCTACAAGATTATAGAAGATTAACCTGTCACTCAAAATTCGTGCAAAAGCAGCTGTGCGCTTGGGCAAAAGTGCGTTGCAGAACCTCTTGGGTTCGATCCTCACCCTTCACCTGTTTCGATCTGGATGAGTTTTGTAACCACGCGTTCGCGTCATCACTACTTCGTGATGTACGTTAAAAAACCCAGGTTAGCGGGTTGTACTGCACTGGCTAAATTGCTCATGTATAGCTAAGAGGCAGGTCACCCGTTGAGGCGTGCTACCATCAAGGCTGCATAAAAATGCATGCAACACAATAAGTTTTGGTGGCCCGATCGCTGGCGTGCTTCGGCCACTTTGCTGGCTGGAACGGCTAGGACATCCTGTCAACGTCAGCCTCGCCGCGGCTTTGCTTGTACCGAGACAATCTACGTCACGATTGGACCGGATGTCACGTGCTCTCCACTGGCTGCTCTCCGAGCGCTTGCCAGAGTGGGCCGTTTATAACGAAAAATACAACAATTGGGCTCGAAATAGAAACGCGCCATTGTCATTCATTTTGGATCATATTCAGCCTATTCTGAACACAATGGGTATATTTCCAATTTCGTTGAAGTATCCCTTTAATGGCGCTCTATTCTACATGTGATACTATAAGAAAGAAAAAATGGTGGAGGGAAAGCGGTGTGTGTCTTGCAGTGTGTTTGCCAACAGAGTTGATCTTCTATACTCCGTTTCATACTTGTGGCAAATTCGGCTGGTCATTCCCCGGTAAAATATGTCGCCATACCTTCGGCAAGGCCGTTCGTGTGGTCAAAGGACGGAGAGTGCACTCAGTTTGAGTGGCGCTTCTAAGGCGTGTGCCGGAAATTTCTCGGCACAATTTTCGCCCGAGCTCCAAAAGGTTGGGCAGTTGATCTGCCAGACTGCGTCCGGTATGGTGCTTTCCAAATCTGGAAAACAAACCAAACCAAACAATGATCGCCGATAGAGGGCTCCAGTAGAAAACGGAGCCATTGAGACATTCACACCTTTGTGCTTTGAGAGAAGATAATAAAACCAACGAAGATACTATTAAATTATTTTGAAGACGCCAAAAGTTTTTGAAGATTTTGTCTAGCTTGCGCAAGATCACCTTGATCACCTTGCTCTAGCACACTGCGTGTTATTGCACCGGTGAAAAAAAAAGATCTATGTTCCCCCCCCCCCCCCCAGCTCGACACTTCAACACGCATAACAATATCAAAGGGGTGAGCGAATTGAAAATACTGGGATTCCAGAAAAAGGTAATAACAAGAAAATAGAATGTGAAAGGTGACGCTGGTAAGCCTTCTGGGAGAGCCTTGTAAGATGGCAACAGTACTTCGGAAATCCACACAAAATATATTAAATATCGACAGACCTGCGGGCAGCCTCACGCACATAATGTAAAAAAGTGGCTAACCGGTTCATTGTGCCAATGTTTTTTTCGGCGCCTCGCAAATTAGCACAACTTTGCCCGCGCGTAAACCAGGCAAACAGTAACAAGAGGTCATGTAAGGTTAAACATGTCAACAAGTTCGTGGATTGCGTGGTGGTGTCATCTACAAAATCTCATTATCATGCGGCCGAGTTTATATATAACAATCGGGACGCTGCGTCAATGAGAGAATGTGTGACCATGCCCTTTCCCTGCGGTCAATGACAGGAGGTCCGCTATACGTACACTGCAGAGACTGCTTGTGTCACCTTGTTTTCAAAGCTACCATAATCATTGGCAGGGGGCTCACAAAAGTGCAAAGAGAGGTGCTAAAGGCGAATGATATCGAAAAGCTGGCTCGGGGCACTGCGTCAGCCAGCCTTCGGTTTATCTTCACAAAAAAAAGATCGATTTTATAGATGCATGGTGAGCGACATGCCACTGGTTGTTTCGACGTTGGTTGGCTTTGTGGTGTTTCCTTGTTTGAGCCGTTTTTAAAGGAGCGGTGCAACGATATTCAATTGAAATGTTTTCCACTTTACACGAGCTTACTGGCACTAGTGGGACTCAAGGATACCCGCACGCAACGCCACTGACCAAGAAGCTCCTTTGCTGCGCTGTAATTTCGAGGACAAAACCGAGTGTTTTCATTCAATCTCTCTTTCGCAAAACCTGATGACGTAGCTGGGCGGTAGCAATACCGCCAAGTGACGATATTTGAATGCGGCTCATAGATTGGACCCGAGCATGGCGTGGACACTCGATTTGGGCTCGCGATAATCGATGCCTCGGCATGCATTCGGGTAGTGGCCTGTGTCCAATCGCTGCAACGACGACAATAGCCGAGCCATAACACCGTCTGGAACTCAGCGCGTGCCCTGTGCCTTGCCAACCCCAGCGCGTGGCTATGATCAACATTGGCGGCATATAATCGGCTTCAGATCACGTAGCCGCTTGTCCTGCAGCTGCGAGTTGAGGGGAAGAACGCTGCTCGTTTTTCTTTAATTTTTCCTGTAACTTCTATTGCGCGGGGTAAAAAACGAACGCGTGTTTCATAGGTCATTAACGTCAGGGATCTGTTCTAAGCGGTATTCGCTCAAAATACAAAAATCGTTGCATCGCCCCTTTAATAAAACTTCAGTTGATAGTCAGCGCTTGTCCTGTGCTCTACTCTCGTTGTCCTCACCTTTTTTGCGCGCTGTTCCCGATTTCTTAATACTTTCGCATTAAAAAGAAAAAAGCTCGAGGTACAACTGAGCATTCCTTATGAGTTGTGAATGCGAAAGTATGCAAGCCGCTCGTTCGCTCCCTTCGTTGTCTGCTGCGTACTAGCGCGCGCGCTTCGACATCTTGGAGGCCATGGCGCAACGGCAAATGGGAGTCCCCGACGCGCGCCAGCCAATGGAATCGAAGGCGCATCGCTCCTATTGGGATCGGGGAAACCAGGAGCCGTTTTCGCGCTTCAAACTGATGACGTCAGCTCGCTCCATGAAACAGTTAATGCTTTCGCGTTAAAAAATTGTTATAAAGCCATTTGTGTTACCCACATCTCAGGGTCCTAATTTACGTTGTTGAAGCATACAGTGTGCTTATTATGCCTTAATATAATCGAAGAAGTTAACAAAGCTCACGCACGACCCATGCAAACGAAAACGCCAGTTGTTGGCGCTTCGTGTTCGGGCGGGGATGGTCACGTGGCGCGCCGCTGGTGCGGTTTTGGTTGCCGGTTCGGCCGGCAACCGTTTCGAACCAACTGATTTCGAAGCGACCTGGACAATGAAGTTTGGTTCGACAGGTGGCGCCACGTGTTTCGGGATTTTTGCAACTCTGAGACGGCCCGCGGCCGCAATCATTGAGCTGCTTTAGAGCTCGCGTCCAATCGTTCGGTGGTTAGGCCTTCCCAAAGTAGCCCATTTTGGCCAACAGCCACGCTGACTAGCAGCCGACCGAGGCGCCACCTGTTCACTGCCCTGGGGCCATTGTAAGGACTGTATTTCGCTAGTTGACAAGTCACGAGCAAAGGCTGGTTCGCATAGCCCCGTTTTCCTGCGTTACGTCGCGGTACGAAAGCCCACGTCCTCTTACGCCACGAGTCGCCGGAATTTCTTTTCTTCATAATAGGCGTGGCAACTAGTTCAAGGAGACAACCTAGCACGCGGCAATCGAAATACGGATGTTTGGGTGGCTTAAACGTAGCGTAAGAACACGTAATGAAACGGTGCTGTGTGAAGCAGCCTTTAGGTACACTGTAAAAAATTTACGTCAATTTGACGTGTCTTTCCCTCGTCAAAAAAGACGGGTACGCTCATCATTTCAAAATACGAGGCGCGAGAGCCGAGCCTTCCAGAAAAGCCGAAATCCCAGGAGTGCAAGCATGCGCAGATGGCGAGGAGTTGAATGCCCCGCCGCGCAGCGCGCAGCCCCGCAGCTCTTTCGCGGCCCTCCTCTCTCGCAGATTGGCGGTGTTGGTGGTGTTGGTGCGTTGTTGCGGTTGTTGCAACACTCATCTCTGTTGTTTTGCGGTTTTGCTCCGAGTCGTGTGCCCGTGCCGCGCAGGCGTAAACAGAGGTTGCAGCAGCTATCGCCATGCTATCGCTCTTCGGGCGTTCGTCGAACTCGCCTCGGTGGCTGTTGACATCGTGGTCGGTATAGTGTTCTGTGATGCATCAGGACCTCATCAGCTCATCGACGACTAAATCGCCCACTTCAAGGTATGCAATGTGACTTTATCCTTGCAATGTCTTCCTTACGTATTGTAATCGAATATTTCTCCATGTTCGCGGTTCGAGTGCTTTCGGTTGAAGACGGAAAGCGCTCGAGCGTGTTCGAAATCTGCGGTCTGAGAACACGGGCGTCCACCGACACATCGTTTTTGGTGTTTCTTTTTCAGCACGTTATGTTTCCGTTATGATATGCACGTGTTTATTTATCCGTGCTGCAGCGGCGGCGCCTTTACTCAGAGCCCTGCGCCTTATCTCTTAGGAGAACTCGTGAGTACGAGCTTTTATGGAAGCTTAGTTTCTGTGTTTGTTTTTGCAACATTCATGCAGCCAGACAACATAAGCGAGCGGCTAACGTCTTTGTAACGATGCAATGTCATTGAACGACGTTTTAGCGGCTTCGAAAACGGAAGTTTCCAGTGCACTCGATTCACGAGTCTCCAAGACGCACACAAAATTATTGGCCGCCCTCGTAATTTGACGGGAAATTTCTCAACCAGTTTGGAGGGTTAATTATTGTAAACATCCACTCTGCAGCTCGCTGCTGGCTCTGACTTTATATTTAACAGTGTGCTTATTTTTTATATCGTATTTTCCGGGCTATAGTCAAAGGTCTATACAGGTTTAAAATTTGAAATTTTAGGCTGTGCGGACTTTCTACGCGTTGTTGCGACCGAGGAGTTCCCCAGGCAGCCTCAGGCAGGGCCAGGCGAGGACAGGAACCGCAGGCCGACTCCAGGCAGGGACATCAGGAGACCGGAGGGTGTCTCGCGATAAACTCTGTTTATATTACATATGTACAGAAGTTTATTGTTCGTCGGAGAGCACACCTTGCGGCCTCTCGTTTGCTCTATTTATACAGTCGCTGTTGATTTTCCAGCGGTTGGCAGCCAGTGGTGGCAGAACTGCCAACGAACGTCATGTTCAGGCCCCGCCCCCACTCATCCTCTCGAGCGCGCACACACATACACGCACACACTGCAGCGTCGGACGAGCTTCCTAATCCGGCACCGGGGCATTCTTGACCTCGATAAGCCGCGCCAGGAGTTGGTGACGGAGGGTCCGCTGTCAGCTCATGAGACTTTGACCGTGATGGAGATGATCCCCTCATTATGCGGCGTCGTGGCTCGGGAAAGGTTTAGCGGGATAATCCGCAAGTGGCGCCGGACGAAAACTTGAGCCGAACGTACTCGGCCGGAAGTCCCGCCGCCGGCGTCGTCCCCCGGAATCCTCTCCCGGTAGGGCAGCTGGTTCCTGGATGGACTGACCCCCGCAGCCAGAGAGAAGAGTCCGGCTCAGCTCCGCTCCCAGGTGTGGCGGCGTCCACGCGGCGCCGGGCGACGTGTTCTGTCAACAACGGCTCAGACGGCCGGTCGCCGATCCTAAATGCGGAGGCCAAACCCCGTAGGGTGGAAAAGAACGGAAGGCGAAGGAAGGACGTGACCTTCGCCAAGGCCTATCGCAACAGCGTGCGGACTATACACGAATTTTGTTTTTCAAGATCGTTCATTATGAGGAGATGTGACGGATTTTTTGAGTGAAAGAGTATGTTAATGATTATTTAATGTATATTATAGGCAGGCACGTAGCCAGGGGGGAGGCCCATGGGGCCCGGCCCCCCCCCCCCCCCCCGAAATCTTCCGTTTTGCTGGGACCTCCCCTCCCCCTCATACAGCATTTTGTCATAGCCCCCCCCCCCGCCCCCCCCCCCCCCCCCAAAACAAAATTTTGGCTACGTGCCTGATTGTAGGCTTCTTTGTGTGCTAAGAAAGCAGACATGTGTCAAGGTGTGTCGTCTATAAGAAGATTTTCGTGTCGACTAAGCACCAGGTGCCGACTATGCACGGCACGCGGACTATGCACCGGGTGCGGACTATCTAAGCATCTAAGCAAGGTCTTTTACTTTGGACCCCCAATTCGCCCCTGCGGACTATACACCGGGTACGGACTATAGCCCGGAAAATACGGTACATATATTTTAGGTTTTTGCATGTCCTATATTCCGTTCACGCCTACGCTGACATTGCGGTGCAAGCTACTTGTTCGCCAACTATAATTAAAGCATCTTATCGCTTGACCTCGCTCTCCCCGCGTGAGTATGCGGAGAGGCGGTGACCACGTTGTGCAGAATTGACAGTTGACTGGTCAGACGAACATGCAACTTCCACCGCACTGTCTGTTTAGGGGTGAACATTTCGCAAAATCGTAATAATTAGCTCAGCATACCCAACGGCTGATCGGCTTCGCAGAAGTTTATAGTTTATTTTTCTGCGCTTTCTTGTTTTATTTCTCATTGATGAGTACTGTTCATTTATTTGCACACCTGAGTCATTAGACAGCTGATACGACGTCGAAAGCTTCTTGTGATATATATATATATTTTTTTTTTGTAATCTTGAACGGATTGTAAAGGAAAATGAAGGTGATATATATGTGGATGCCGTCCTCACTGTATAATTGTAGCGCTCGGCGGACATTAGACAGGCGGATAAACGTCAAAATATGTTTACTAATTAACCAAAAATTGTAAAGTCACTGTTTGATTACATAGCTTTTTACTTTTCTTTTTTCACTGTAGATTACACTTGTGCAGCTTCAGTCACCCCGGCCGTGACACTTCCCCTTTGGACTCGGTTTAATGAATTTGTGTTTAGTATATTTGCATGTATTTGTGTTTAGCATAGTTACGTTTATTTATCATTAGTGCATGATTTTTCTTTTTTACAGTGGCTATTTTCAAACCTAACGTTGCATTTGCATATGTCGGTGTGCATGTGCATGTGTGTGTCTGCATCTGTGTCACATGACACCCGTGACATCCTAATGACGTCTGCATATAGTTGTTTCACTTTGCACTCGGGCTCAAAGTATAGCTATGTTGGACTGTTAATTTTAGGGTGGCATATCTCACAAGCCTCATGTTGGCTTTGGTGTGCCCGTCATGCTAACTGATGTGCGCTAGATACAATAAATGTATTATATTATTATTATGAATATTATTATTATTATTTAGCGGTTTAACAGGCCTCTTCGCTATTGCAATTTTAAAGAGAGTAATGTAACCCCAAAACTCTAACCGGCGATTTCCGAAAAACATGGATTGCCTCAAAACTTGCTGCTTTTTCACAAAATTGTTTCATTTAGGTTGGGCTTTAATAATGTCTCCGTTTAAAATGGCAATCACAGCATAGCCCATTATACCAATACTTAAGAAGGTAATTAACATATTTTGGTTAGTAAACATAATTTTATGTTTATTCACTTATCTAACGTTTGTCATTGCTGTGGTATTGCAGGCTACTGCAGTGTGTGACCCAATTGTTATATGTTTGTTATAGGTACTTTGGCCAGATAAACCTCAAAAGATGTACCAGGTGTGCACCATGCCATACCGCAAAGAGCGGCATTTATCCGAGAGTGCTCTGGCTCATCAAGGAAGGAAAATGAACCCGTAGGTACTATCCAAAGATTGCCAGCCGCTCTCTTCAAGCTGCATGGAGAGCTCTATGAGTTCAGCAACCGTTCCTAGTGGTCCTTGGGATATTTCATGCTGGAGGCTTATGTAATATTGGTCTTGTCTTTGTAACTTTGTGGGTATAAGGCAAGCTGTATTAAATTTATTGAAGGTTCCAGTTGCACCAAGCAGGTGCACTCACCCTCAGGTCGCAAGCCGCTCTCTTCAAGTTGCATGGGGTGCTTTATGAGGTGAGCAAGCATTTTTAGCAATCCTTGGGACATGTCGTGCTTTAGGCTTATGTATTACTGGCCTTGTCTTTGTTACATTGTGGTATATGGCACGCTGTACTAAATTTATTGCAGGTCCCAGCTGCACCAAACAGGTGCACGCACCATTACAGATTGCAAGCCGTTCTCTTTAAGCTACATGGAATGTTCCATGAGGTGAGCGTGCATTTGTAGTGGTCCTTGGGACATGTGCTGTAGGCTTATGTATTACTGGCTTTGTCTTTGTGGTATACGGCAGGCTGTATTAAATATATTGCAGGTCCCAGCAACAAAAATTGCAAGCCGCTCTCTTCAAGCCGCGTGGAGTGCTCTCTGAGGTGAGCAATGATTTCTGGTGGTCCATGGTACATGCCCTTCTGGGGCTTTATGTAATACTGACGTTGTCTTTGTTATTTTCTGGTATATGGCAAGCTGCATTAACTTTCTCGCAGTTCCCATCTACACCAAGCAGGTTGACCTACCGTCAGACCGCAAGCCGCTGTCTTCAAGCCGCACAAAGTGTTCTATGAGGTGAGCAATCATTTCTGGCTGTCTTTGGTGCATGCCATGCTGGGGGTTTATGTAATACTGGCCTTGTCTTTGTTACTTTCTGGTACATGGCAAGCTGCATTAACTTTCTCGCAGTTCCCATCTACACCAAGCGGGTTGACCCACCGTCAGACCGCAAGCCGCTCTCTTCAAGCCGCACAAAGTGTTCAGTGAGGTGAGCAATCATTTCTGGCGGTCTTTGGTGCATGCCTGCTGGGGGTTTATGTAATACTGGCCTTGTCTTTGTTACTTCCTGGTATATGGCAAGCTGCATTAACTTTCTTGCACGTCCCAGCTGCAGCAAGCGGGTAGACCCACCGTCAAAGACCGCAAGCCGCTTTCTTCAAGCCGCACAGAGTGTTCTGAGGTGAGCAATCATTTCTGGCGGCCCTTGGTACATACCATGCTAGGGGTTTATGTAAAACTGGCCTTCTCCAGTTTGATCCAGTTTTACCTAAGGAAAAGGTGGACCTCTATAGTGGGATGGACATGCCTTCAATATTTTTATATACATGTATACAAAGCTGTCTATTTTGATTCGAACGAAATTAAAAAAAAAAAAAAACCGGCACGAGTTACTTAAATGATTCCCTCACTGTGTGTTTGTGGGGCTTGGAGGACATTAGATAAGCGGATAACCGTTGCAGTATGTTAATCAAAACTAATGAACCAAATTTTTTTAATGTTTTTAATTAATTGTTTTATGGGATACGTTTCAATTCTAGTTTCAAAGGCAGTAAATATTAGACTAACAGAAATTCTGTATAGCAACAAGGTTCAAGATATGGACTGCTAAAAATTTGCTTTTTTTTTTTTGTCACCCGATTCGAAAATTGCGCACTCGGGGAAGACCTCAGGATGTTGTGCGGACGGGGCTGCTTCGGACGCACCTTTTTTATCTTGGAAGTATGACGCGGATGCATCTACCAAGGACACACTGTCGAGATAGTGACGATGTGCCCAGTACGACTATGTCACTCTTCCACCCACCATTAACGGCACAAATTCTTGAGCTCCTGAGCGCGGTTTTTGCATCCGACATTAAAACACAAAAGTTGGACAATGAATATGTGGAAGCCGCTTGGCATTTCGTGAATTGTTTAAGTCGGGATAGCATTTAATATTGGCTGGCTTTTAACACTGCTGTTGCAGCATGGCCCATAAAGCCATTAGTTACAAAGCTAACAAATTTTCGTCAATTAGTCAACATACTGTGACGGTTATCCCCTTTACTGATGTCCACAGAGTCCCACGAATGCGCAATGAAGAAGAGATTCTCATAACTCTCGAGGCCTTTTTTGAAAATTATGTTAGCTTTGATATAGAATGATGTGTATCCATGTAAAATGACTTGTAGAATGTAATCATGCACATGATTGTGTTACGAGGCTTTGTTTTTCACCCAATTAAGTAGTGCATTTTTTATCGCAACCTTCCAAAAATAAGCAAAGCATCCAGTTTGGTATTCAAATTGTATTCTATTTTGGTAATAAATCAACGAACTACTACTTGGTTCGCCTTTGGCTTCATACTGAGAATAATAGGCATGTGCGAATCATGAATTTTGGGCTAAAAGTGTATAATGACTTGAGCTTATTATCTTTTCAGTTGGATATCACAGTGTCTGCACCTCTCTCCAAGCCTGTTACATAGTGCCGTCACGCTAGGCTCAGCCATCCTGACAGTGTTGGTATCACTTGTTTAGCTGTAGGCTGCTTTGATTACTTTAGTGCATATGTTTTCAAAATTCAGTAATATGTCAGTGTAGGAGCATGATCGTGCACGAATAGTAACTTTAGGTATGGTACAAAAAAATACCTAATATCAGGGGCAGATACTCATCCACTGAAATAAAGTTAGAAGTGAATAATTTTGATTACCAAACTGAATGCTCTCTTAAAATTCTCAAGGATCTGCTTAAGCTGCACAGTTGTAATCGAGGCAGCAAGCAAACCTTGTCATTTATTAATGCTTGTCAGCAGCATGCTGCATGGGCATATAGATTTATAAGCGTACATAATCAGCATGAGGGCAATACATATACTTTTTAAATGAAATTCCAATTGATCTCGTTATCATCGCCCCACTGCCAAAGCTCGGTTAGTTCTGATCCAAATTATGTAGTGGCTCTGGCTATCATCAGGTCAAAGCCCACATAGAGGTTGTGAGTATAAATATACGATTTGATGGCCTTCTCGCCATGCTCATCCTTCAATTTCAAATTGGAACTTTTGCTGCAATGTCGTGACATAGCATGTTAGGGCATTGCAGCCTAATACATATTCTTGATAACAGAATAGCTACAGTGTTATTTGTTTTCTAAATTTGACCTTGAGGGGAGTACCGACATCCATCAGATGCATAAACATTCACGTAACCATTTTTAAATTTTTTTCTTAATTCCTCCTGTGTACATGTCAAAACCTCTCCGCTATGGAGGTGTGTATTTCCCACCAAAGTATGAGTCTGCACTGCGACAAAGCGAGATTCTTGCGACCGGGGTGTTACACCACCACCTAGATAAGCAGAAGGCCTCCGCACCGTCATCACAGCCAGATCGATTGAGGCCTGAGATTGGGCACGAGTGCTGCGTCAGTGTTCGGCCGGGGCTCGTGTTCCATCAGCGCGTCGAAGGTCGGACTCGGGCCCAGTAGCCGAGTTTGCGCCATCCGACTGTGATGACGTTTCATGAAGGGAGAGGAGGCGATGCCGAGGCTTTGATTATTCTAGATGGTGTTGGGTTAGCGCGATTAATGCGATTGCGGAGTCTGCTCCATGGGTTTCGCTTCTCCACAGCGCAGTGCACATGCGGAGAAGCGCACTGAACAAAGCCAATTCATTGCAATGGCGACTTTACGAGCTCTTTGAAATGTTTGACTGGCGTAAACAATTTTATTTTCGCCAGCTTGATATTTCATACATTTTGTGAAGTGTCAGTTTTGGAAATACTTTGCGGGAACAAAATTTCACAATCAGGAGTAATGTTCAATGTATTCGTTGCCATGGGGTTACTTATTTGCATGACCAATTTAAGCAATTTCGATAAACTCGCAAAAGCTAAGCCTTTGCAAAAATTAAGCCGTTTACAGTAGAACGATTAATGTTGAAACCAATATCAAATACCGTATAATACTAAACTGCTATAAGAAAATTTTAGTATTAGCACAGCCCTGAAAATGGCCATTTGCAGATGTTTTCGCTTTGGCCTTCATCAATCCATATGGGCTTCAAATGTAGCAGCTGCAGCCTTGAATCTGGAAAAGGCTATTGTTTGTCACACGTTTTCTTTATGGTGCCTAAGGTTTGATGTAATAAATGTTGTGCCCTGCAGTGAACACTATTACCTCTAGCATAGCCCTGGGCATGCAAAGAAGGCACACCAGCAATGTCTGACATATCAGACTTTCAGAAATGCTATTGTCCGATTTTCCTCACCCTTTTGTCAGGATAAAGCTGTTACTATCTTTCTTGCTTTCCTCTCATAGTGGTCCTTTGAGCGAGTTATGTGACGTTATATCATAGGGTGGCATAGGGTAATTTTCTCTTCTCTTTTCCCGCAGGATGTAATGGCACACCATCATCACCAAGGAGAGTGTACAGTGAGGAAGCTCGGAAACTTGAATAAAGTGATAAGTAATCTTTCAATTTTTGTCTTTATAATTACGTGAAGGACACTGATCATAATGACTGTATGCTACACATACATACTTTCAGCTGAAAAATGCAATCCACCTTTTCTTTATTGCTTTTCTCACACAGTTTCAGAAGACGCTGGTACGTCATTTTCACGAGGAATGTTTGGAAATAGAGCTGCCAGAGATTTCCTCGTAATTTTCACGTACAAAGCCGCAAATAAAAATGACGTCTTTCCTAGTCAATTTAGAAAAACAACAGTACGTTATTTTCACGAGGGAAGATTTGAAAACGATTCAATCGTCATTTTCACGTCTATGCTCGTAAACTAAGAATGCGGTGCCTCGTTTTTTTGACAACTTTTCCACATAATTTCAAAAAATGATTGTACGTTATTTTGACGGGAAATGTTTGGAAATAGAGCTGCCAGAACTTTCCTCGTAAATTTCACGACTCATTTTTAAGAGTGTACTGTGCGCGCAGCGCCGTTTGCTTAAGATGTTTTATCTTACGACAAATTACGTCTCGTTGCGTCGAATGTCACCGAGAAATCCGTGCTTTGTGTGGAGCGTGGCAGCCTATTCAAGGACATCTTCTTAATTATCTAGATAGCAATGATTTCCTTTTTCAATCGCAGCACGGGTTCAGAAATGGCCTTACTACTACAACTCAGCTGTTCGAAACTGTTCACGAGCTACACTCTTAAAAATGCCCGTGCGTTCATTTTCCCGCACAACATTCGGAGAGCCAATCAACGCAACTTACGGAGGCAGCTCAGCGAATGACGATGCCGAAACATATGTTTAGACCCGAAAACGCAGCCTGAGTTTTGACATTAAGCAATGCAAAACGTCACGCTTGCATTGCTTAATGTCACAACTCAGACTGCGTTTCTGGGTCTAAACATATGTTTTGGCATCGTCATTCGCTGAGCTACCTCCGTAAGTTGCGGTGATTGACTCTCCGAGTGTTGTGCGGCAAAGTAGACACACGGGCTTTTTTTAAAGTGTAGCCCAAAGAATTAATCATCGCGGTCAGACTAATACCCGTTACACACGGGCATCTCGAATGTCATTTACAACGAATGACGTTCGTGTGATCGACGAATCGGCTCGCGATTTGTCGCGCGTGGAACGCCCCACGCTCGGAGTGTCGCGCGCTGATTGGCCGATCGTTCAAATGTCATTCGTTGTAAATGGCATTCGAGTTTCCCGTGTGGCGCGGTATGACATACACTCTAAAAAAAGCCCGTGCGTCTACTTTCCCGC